GATTTGCTGTTTGTTATTTAGATTCTATGTTTATGTATTGAATTCATCATGTATTGACTTAACATGAGCCTTACAGATAAAAACATCCACATGCACTTGTGTATTGACAGTATGGTGACCCACTTTGAGGTTTGATTTTCTGTCAGCTACAGAGAGGTGATAAGGGAACATAAGTTTGGGAAATGGTAACAAAATTTAGAAACTTTCCTTCTTAATTTATTTCTTTGGTTATTTTCTAACAATAGACCAATAGAATAGTCTGAAGCATTTCATATTCCAGTTATTAATCCTGCCATCTAGAGAATTTTTCATGCAGAAGTGTGTTATAAGAAATTAACACTTGATAATTGTAAGGAAATGTTTTAACTTCAATAACATCTGTACAGATGAGATATATTTAATCACCTTTCTTCAGAAAAGTCTTGGCAGCTCTCGTGATTCTTCTGTACATCTTTTATTGTACATTTTAGACAATTGATAAGCATTATTCAGTGGCATATGGTCTGAGTCTGACATGCTTTGAAAAGAGTATGGAGTTCTGATAATGGGGATTCTGTGAAAATGGGAAAACCGGCACAAGAGATATGCTTTGAGAAAGTATGGGTTTTTAACATCTTGAAACAATACATCACACTCAAAGGGACAGAATTGGACTGCACAATCTGTTAGCTCATTCTTGTCCAATCTGGTCTCCTCCTTTCTTTTGGAGCCAGCATTGTCATCAACTCACTGAATTATATTCTGACTGGAATGTATTTCATCCACATACAGAGTAAATGTATCTACTTAAATGGAATCCTATCTTTCTACAAAAGCTTTTTGAGTATAATAAATTTAAAATATAAAAAAACTTCTATTAAGTTAAAGTAAATGCTTCAACAGTTTACATATGTGCCTTCTCCCCCACCACCCCCAAAAATAAAAAGACCACTACTTAAAGGAACATAGATCTGTTTCTATTTTATGTACAATATTGAATAATTTGGAGAGTTTAACTATAAGGTGATCAGATGTATTTCTAAGTTTATTTATTAGAAAGATATCCATATGTTGCAACAAGTTTCTGCTGAACAAAAACTATGGAAATAAAATTTTTACCAAAGTGTTTATTTTATTTTCTGTTTTATGGCAGTCTTTTTAAATAAGAAGTAATCCCATTATCCAAATCATCCATTTTATGTAATAAAGAATTTTTTCTACTCCCCATCTAGAATTGTACTAGCAATCCTTGGAAAATTAAGATAGTAACCAAAATGTTTGTTGTAATGAAACTAGATTGTGGAAGGCTACTGTTTGGTATTAAAGAGTCAGTTTTTGTTTTTTAAACATGTCAAGTTTTGTTACTGAGGTGTTATATTAAGACTACCTTCCTTCATTTGTTTAACTGAAACATTTTTAAGCATAACAACAAGATATTAATAATTCAATCTGCAAAATTATATCTTCAGATTTATATAGACTATTTTAGCAGTATTTTTGTGCATAATGATTGAGTCACAGCTATAGATTCTGCTCTTTTGTGTTCAAATAATTTGGAATTCAGCCACAAAAACCAGATAGTAAATGAAGTTGTTGGTTTGGGGTTTTTTTGTGATTGTTCTCTTGAGGATATTAAGTCCTTGCCAGTTCAGATCGGCGGGTAGACCTTTTTAATGCGTTGATTTATGTGAAAATGGGGGTGGGGGAGAGTGAGAAGCAGCCAGCCCTTCCTGTTGTTCCCATCAGGCAGGGTATTAATACCTTACCAGACATCCTGCTATAGGATTCTTCCATACCTCTCCTGTGACAAGTGCTACATTTTTATAGGTTTAAGTGACATTGCCGTGATCACTATATGTTGCACAAATATACCTTTATTTTAGTTGTAAAATTGAAAGTAAAAAATTCCTGAAACTAATTGCAAGATGAGGGACCTTAGTGAATGTATTACTGATTATATAAATTGAAGATATTTTATACAGTGATCTATTAAACAAGATATAGGTAACAGACTATCACTGAAAAATAGCTAAAATTAATTTATGTGACAAGTACCTTTATAGCATTTCCTTGTAGTCAGCTTGCATAGCCTTTGCTTATTTTGGTGTTAAGTGAATTTATGTTAATATATTTCCATTTACTAGCTGACATTTCATAAAGTAAAGGCTATAGGAATATTAGGTGAATATTAATCAGAATGAACCTCTTAAACATTGCATTTAGTTTGTGAAAGTTATTAAGTAACATTTCTGGTGTGCATTTCATTAACTTATCAGTCAATCTGTGTGGAAATTTTTAATTTTTTTCATTTAAAAATAGTTTAAAAAATTGTACAAATTTGTGATATACTATATGGTGTGATACCATACTTATATCTGCCTTAATCAGTATAAAGCTATATTTCATTTATCCACTTTATGAATTATTAGTGTTAAACAGCTTCCTGTCAATAAGAAAACGCAAGGCCTTAATGGGTATAGAAACAAAAAGAAGAATGATGAAACCACATGGAGTGTTTTACCATTCAGATATTTTAGTCTTATGCATTTTTACTTAACTGCAGCAGCCAGCTAAATTTTCTCTACCTAGGAAATATAAGCCAGTTTGGACTACCCTAAAATCCGCCAAATTCAGTAAAACTTATGCTTCAACACTATAAACTAAAACACTATACTAAAATGAAAATAGACATGAAACAGCTGAGTAGTATCCTATAGCCATTTTAAGGTGTATAGCAGCCGGTTGTGTATATAATCTAAAATTGAAATGTCAATGAAGTGGTCATAGGATGTGGTTAAGAAATTGCATTTTCTAACTCAGTAACATGTCAGTTAACCCCATAATGTTGTAAATTATTTTTGATATTATATTGTGGCTTTTCCTTGGACGGGATGATAATCTGCCAGCTCTGCTTTCAGACCAGAGATGGTCTCCCCAAGAAACTGTTGAATTTATCTGGACAATAAGAGGCTGGACTATAGCTATGCATGGTACATGCTTGCAATGAAGGAATCGTAACTGGATTTGAACTGTAATACAGCAACAAGGTGGAGAAATCCACCATGGGAAGAAGGCACGGAGCGAGCAGGGTTGGGGGAATCCCAGAGCCTATGAAACTGTGTCACAGAATGAAACTAAAAAAAAATAAAAATAAAAAACACAGGTAATATTAAAAAAATATTTTAATCAGTGTCACTGTTGATTGATCAGATATGTAAATAAAATAAATTTTTGTCCTTACCTTATTCTCTCTATAAAAATAAATTACTAAATGATGAAATACAAATAAATAAAACTATATTGAGTTAGTAATATAGTCAGTGAATGTGTATTACATGTATTTAGGGGAAGATTTCCTAAGCAATAGAGCAAAAGAACTAAGAAATTTAATTCTTTTAAGGTTTTTCTTTTTCAAGAATTAAAAATACATACTTATTCGAAAGCAGAGTTACAGAGACAAAAAGGGAAGTACAAAGAGAAAAGTGTTGCATCCACTGGTTCACTCCTCAATCACAACGGGTGATGTCAGCAAAGCTGAATCCTGGAGCCAGGAGCTTCATCCAGGTCTTCTACAGGGGTGCAAAAGCCCAAGAACTTGGCTGTCCTCCACTGCTTTTTCAGACGCATTAGTAAGGAGCTGGATAGGAAGAAGAGCATCCAAGACTGGAACAGATGCCCATATGGGATGTTGATGCTGCGAGCAACATATTGATATGCTAGGCTGCATTGCCTGCCCCTGATCCATTAAATTTTTTAAAATCATAAATAAAAGGAAAGCATGAATAAACCAGATAAAAAATATTTGTAGCACAAGATGGGCAAGGAATTGATAGCTTTGGTACAAAAAAGTAACTTTCACAAACTAATATGGGAAAAGGCTACCATACACACTTAGAAATATAAAATGGTAAAGTATTAATGAAAAAAATCGTAATTTTTGATTAAAGGAATTCATAAGTACACAAAATCCCTGTCTATTTTCTTATGCTCTTTTTAATATATTAAATTAAAATGGGCATTGAAACGTTAAGGATTTTCCTAGCATTCTGAAGTGACTTTGTGATTCCTAATTTCAATCATGCTAATTATTTTTATCTTTTGTAAGGAATTTATGGATACTTTCGATTCTAAGGATAGCAACAAATGCCTGATATTAACAACAGGACAATTCTTATCAGTTCTCATGTTAATATATTAGTGCAAAGAAAATTGATCCCATGTATTTCATAGGTATAGTTTTAAAAATATGATATGTGTTTGTTTCCTCTTTGTTTCTTTGCTTCTCTCTTTTAATTGTTTTTAAGATTTGTATTTATTCAAGTGGCAGAGTTCAGGAGAAAATGTAGAGCAAAAAGAAAAATTACATGCATTGGCTCACTCCCTAAATGCAGTAGCATCCCATTTCCCACATGGAGGCAAGGGCCCAAGTACTTGGGTCATTTGCTGCTTTCTGAAGCACATTAGCAGGTATCAGAAGTGGAGTAGCCAGGGCTAGAAAAAACACCCATGTGGAATGTTGGAGTCACTGGTAGCAGCTTAACATGCTGTGCCGTGGTGCCAACTCAATACATTTAACTTTAATCCTTAGTATTTATGGGACCTTTATTTTTATATATCGGAAATCAAAATTAACCAAATGTAGTCTTATAACAGCAAGGTTTATTTATTTTTATTGGAAGGTCAGATTTATAGAGAAAAGAAGAACAAAGACCTTCCATCTGATGGTTCACTCCCAAAAGGACCACAGCAGCAGGAGTTGAGCCATTCCAGAGCTAGGAACCAGGAGCTTTTTCTGGGTCTGCCACATGGATGTGGTGTTCCAAGGCGTTGGGCCATCCTCCACTCCTTTCCCAGGCTGCAGGCAAGATGCTGGAAAAGAGATGGACACCCATAATGGATCCTGACACATGCAAGGCAAAGAATTTAACCACTAGGTTACCACTCAAAGCCACAAGTTCAGCCTTAAATGTAAATTTTAAAAATATTGCAGTTGGAATGTTAAATTGTCTTTTTATTTGCAGATGGAGAACATCATTGGAACACTAAAAGATTCCAACTTGAAGCTGACTCTTGCTTTTGGAATAGGAATGCATCATGCTGGGCTACATGAGAGGGACCGAAAAACAGTAGAGGAGCTATTTGTAAATTGTAAAATTCAGGTACCTTGCTTTGCTTTTCTTCCCACACACATATTTAAATGTAACCTTAAGAATATTTTACCCTGATATAAAAATATTATATCTTGTCTTTAGGTGCTTATTGCTACAAGCACATTAGCCTGGGGTGTAAACTTTCCAGCTCATTTAGTAATTATTAAGGGAACAGAATATTATGATGGAAAAACAAGACGTTACGTGGATTTTCCCATTACAGGTAAGTCTTGAGTTATGTTTGCCTTAATTGAATTTACATTATTTTGATTTTTGAGAATTTGTCATATTTAAATGCATGATGACCAAATTATAAATTCTTGGTCTCTTTTGCAAATAATATATACAAAATACTGTAATGCTTTGTTTTGTTTTTACCTACAGTTTAGTAAAAATAAAAAATACGGATTCTTTCAAATTTGTAAATCATCAAAGTACTGATGAGTATCTGTTAGTTCCCTTCATAGTTACTTGCTTATTTAGTTACCAGTTTTCTGAATAAATCATTACTTTAGGGTACTAAATAGTAGCAATCGGAAATACAATTTATGTTTTTCTAGTGTTATATTTGATCAAAACTGTGTTTGGTTTAGTTACCTACAATTGAAAAAAATAAATTTTATACCATAGTTGGGAGGAAGGGGAGGCTTAACTAGCCTTTAAAGATTCATAGGATAAGTAATCACATACATGATGAAAGAATTTTCTGTATATGTTTGCTTTTTCTGTTTTAATTAGAATAATAATAATACCTCCAAATAATAGTATTGAGTATTTAGCCAAAGACTTCTTTCTTACCTTCACCCTTTGACAGCTCAGTTTCCTTTATAATTACTTGCTTACTTAGTTACCATTTTTCTGAATAAATCATTACTTTAAGTTACTAATAAGTAGCAATCAGAAATAGAATCTGTTGTTTTTACAATGTTTTGTTTCCTGTGTCATTATATTGTAGTGTAACAGCATACCATAACAAGTAAATATGCCTTGTTCTACCCCTTCACAGCATCCATCTTGTTCTCTATTTTGTAGATGTACTCCAGATGATGGGGCGTGCTGGGAGGCCACAGTTTGATGACCAGGGCAAAGCTGTAATTCTGGTTCATGACATAAAGAAAGACTTTTACAAAAAATTTTTGTATGAACCTTTTCCAGTAGAATCAAGGTAAATTTTACTTTAATTAACTCAAATAGCTTTATTTCATTACAAGCTGATGTTTTTAAAAGAAGCCAGGTAGAGCACTATTCATTCACTTGGCTATGGAGCCAGATGATCTGGGTTGAAATGGTGGGTTTACCATTTCTTGATTTATATTGTGCAAGTTTTAAATTCTCAGGGACTTGATGCTTCTGTCTGTGGGACTTGATGCTTCTGTCTGTAAAATGGAGATAACAATGGTATCAGCTCTCTCAAGGAGGATTTATAAGGATCAAATGCAAAGTGAACAAGTATCCGTCACTAACTAAGCATCTAACAGTGTTAATTTGGTGACAATTATGTAGTTAACAAGTATATATCAATTAAAGGGGCATGAGATTAATTTAGAATTACCCCACCCATTCCACAAATCTTCCCTCATTTTCTGAACTGAAAATGACCCTTCCCCTCAGAGTATATATTTTCATTAGTAACACTTCAGTCATCTTTTATCATAGTCTTTTCTACATGCTGTATCTCCTTTGCTGTAGTCTAACTGCATTGAGGACAAAAGTTGTTTGTGGAATATCCAGTAAATAATAATTAAATTCTTTGGGGTAAATGCTAACAATACTGATTTTTGTTAAATCTGGAAAATGTAAAAGCATTAAATGTTGTAGCATATGACTAAGACGGTGCTAAGAGAACATTTATAGCCTAAAATATATACACCAAAGGAGAGACCTTGTCAAATCAATGATTGGGACTGGTGCGATAGCTTAGCAAGCTTAATTATCTGTTTGCAGCACCAGTATCTTATATGAGTCCCAGTTCAAAGCCCAGCTACTCCACTTGAAACCCAGCTTCCTGCTAAAAGCCTGAGAAAACCACGAAGGATCGCTCAAGTTCATGGCCTTCCATACCCACATGAGTTGGATCAACTCAACTCAGAACATTTTGGCCATTTAGGGAGTGAACCAGGAAATGAAAGATATGTCTTTCTCTCTCACTCTATCTCTCCCTCTTTTTCAGTCTACCTCTCAGATAAAATAAATAAGTCCTTTTTAAAATACTCAATCTTTGCACAAAGAAAGATGCTTCACCAGTGACTCCTTCATAATGTATAAAGAAGAAATAAAATTTTACATAAACTTCTAGTAACAGAGTGAGAACAAAGTAACTTGGATTCCAAAACCTAATTTTTAAAATTTGGAGTAATATAACAAGCTTGCTCTTATGAATATATAGTTAGAACTCCTAAACAAAGCATTAGAATCAAATCTAACAGTATATAAAAAGATAATAAATTATAACCAGTTGTCTACATAAACACAATGGTGATTTATTATTTTTAAATAATGCAGTATATCATATTAGCTGGAAAAATTTTAAAATTGCATTTCATAAATGTAAAAAGAGCATTTCATAAAATCCCACACTCATGCATTTTTTTAGAAAAGCTGTTATTAAGTTTAAATAAGGGAATATCCTTATTCTGAAAAACTGTGGACAAAATATCTATAAACATCAGTTAACAAATGTGAAATGCTTTCCCATTGAGATAGAAAATAATATAGGAATTGTGATTTTACTACAACCAAGTGCTAGAGACTAGCCTCTGCAGGTGACTAAGTAAACAAGAATTTAAGCTACCTTTTTAAGCCAGATATGACTAAAACAGTACCGCAGGGCAGCTTCTGGAGTACTGATGATGTTTGGTTATGGTGTTGGCTACACAACTGTGTTTATACTGTGAGAATCAACTTAGTTGAATCTGTGTATTTCCTCCATGTATCAGTAAAATTAACATTTTGATTTTGTTCCTTGATGCACTTATTATATTTTAGCTACTACAGAATATTCTGTAGTTTACTCAATTCTCTCTTAATGTGCACTTACGGCATTTCCAGGATCCCTTATTTATATGTAACGTTGCACTGAACTGTTTTGCTTTCCTGTGCTCACATGCACATAATTTTTGGCAGGTCATAATGAAAAAGTAAAATTGTTTGGCCATAGTAATTTGTTCTGACAGATCTTGCCAAATTGCTCTCCAAATGAAGTGTGCTCATTTGTATTCTGCTACTGGTAAATTAGTGTAACATAGCAACGTAACTTACTTTTAGTAGAGAATCAGGTATACAGAGAAGAGAAGACACAGAGAGGAAGATCTTCCGTCTGATGATTCACTCCCCAAGTGAGCCACAATGGTTGGATATGAGCTGATCCAAAGCCAGGAGACCTGAACTTCTTTCGGATCTCCCATGTGGGTGCAGGGTCCCAAGGCTTTGGGGTGCCTCTTCTGCTTTCCCAGGCCACAAGCAAGGAGCTAGATAGGAAACAGGGCTGACAGGATTAAAACCGGTGCCAGTATAAGATTCCAGCATATGCAGGGTGAGGACTTCAGCCACTAAGCTACCGCACCAAGCCCAACATAGCAACCTAACTTACCAGAACCATTTTCTCATCTCCTTTGGAAAAACTATACCTGTGTATTTTTCCATATATCATAATTCATTTAGCCATGTGTGCTTTGACTAAACATTTAATGTTTATGAGTAGATGAATGAATGAATGAAATATCTTGATTGACAAATATCCTGAGATTTACAGGATACACCACTTACACCACTTTTCCATAAATATACTCCTTTGTATTTTCCAAGGTATCTCTTCTTGCTCATGTCACCTTTTGTGGCTTTCTCATCTCTTGAAAGTATTAACTGCCTCCCTGTCAGGCTTATTTTCCATGCCATGGTTTATTTCCCCAAAATTACTAATAGTAATAAGTACCCTCTGTTAGATACTTGTCATACAATAGTTACTTGTGATTGCTCTAATCAAATTATTACTACAGTTAAATCATTCTGGAAAAATATTTTTTAATTTCAGTATTTTTCTGACATTCTGCCTATGACCAGTCTAATTTATATTCACATTAAAGTGAAAGAATAAACGTACTTTTTCTAAAGAAAGCAAAATAAATATGTCGTATTCATTAATAATACAGGTTATTGAGTTACTTGTGCTAGATGATTTATGGACTCGTGGAGAAATTTAAACCAAATTTCCATCAAATAATTTAAATGACTTATTCACAGATGATATAAAAATATGTGTAAAATATGTAAATTTTAGAAAACATTTTACATCATAAAAGATTGAATCTTCACTGTGAGATTAAAACTATTCTATATTTAATTTTCTTGTATGTTTCCTGTCTTTTTGTTTTCACTGTATAGCTTATTAGGAGTACTTTCTGACCATTTAAATGCAGAAATTGCTGGTGGTACAATAACTTCTAAGCAAGATGCCTTGGATTATATCACCTGGACTTACTTTTTCCGGCGTCTTATCATGAACCCCAGGTAAGTACAGGGCTCTTTAAAGAGCAGTTATTTACGTCTCTGTGTTGTATAGAAAGGAGGCATATTTGAAAGTAATTAACTCCAAATCAGTGTCCATTCAGAATATTCAGAACTTTGACCATTCTAGGTATATAATTTAGCTCAGAGAATCAGATGATTTCTATGTTATGATCACATTCTATTATATCAGAAAATTGATGATTTTGTGCTTTTACTACTCAATGTACTTATCTTGAAATATCCTGAGCAGTTTGCTCTGTGGTTAGAAACATGGCACCTGAAATTATTAAGAAATACTAAACCGTGTGTTAGTATCTGCCCTAGATATAGTTAAAGTCTATATACTTGTGAAATTTTATGGAAAAAAATAGCATTGTTAATCAGATATCTGCAGAGAAAATCAAACTGGGGTATGGTAGAGTATGTTTTATTCCGGAGAGTATACTAGATCTTCATTCAGAACCTCATATTTGTCAGATGTCATAGTAAACTCTGAGGCATCAAGATGTAAATCGGCCACTGTCTCAAGGGCTGATCTCTCAGTGTGGGAAAGACATTCCTGTCATTGCAAGGGGAATCATAAGTGACCCATTTCCAGAAGAGAGATAACTGGATCAAATGTTAGATCCATTTTTACTTTACTTTTCCTTTGTATCTGGTGATCCTAAGCATTTTTTTGTGTTGCTGTTGGCCATTTAGACTTCTTTTGAAAAATATTGAGAGCTTTTACCTATTTATTAACTGGATTGTTTTGATGTTGTGAATTTCTTTAGCTTATATAATATACAGAAAATTTTAAAAGCTTGAGAAATTGATTTTATTAATATTTTATTTTGAAGGGGTTTGAGAAGGAATAAACTGCAAAATAAGTACAAAGAGGCACTATAGACCATCTACCAAGTTTTCTTCTCTTAACATCTTACATGACAATAATATTCTTATCAAAATCAAGAAGTTGATATTTATACAAACTGTTAGATGATCTACAAGTTTTATTCAGACTTCACCAGTTGCTGTGCTGATGTCCCTTCTCTTCCAAGGATCCAAACTAGGTCTTGCATTGCATTTAGTTTCTCTGCTTCTCTAGTTCACTCTAGTGAACAAGAGTATTCACCAGTTAATTTCTAGTGTATCCTTCAGTTTGAATTTGCCTGAAGTTTCCTCATCACTAAATTCAGGTTACATCTTTTGGGTAAGACTATCACCCAAGTGATTTTGTACTCTTCTCCATTCATAATGCTAAGAAATCCTTCTTTAGATGTCCCTTCTGTATTACTGATAGATTAAATATTCTGTAATATATTCATCTAATCTACTCATCATGTGCGTTTTATTTCTACACTGTCGTGCTGAATGTTGCCACATGTGATTTCCCTGAACTGCCCATTGTCATTTCAGACTTGCATAACTTACTGAATTAATCTGATAACTAACAAAATATTTGTGTTCTTACTTTTGTTGGTGTTAGCACTTGACATCTATTTACCTTGACTTCAAATTCCAATTTCTTTTTTTATATATTTTTCCTCCTCCTTACTTCTGTAATTCTCTAGCACTTAACCTGCTTTAATCTGTCCTCGATGTAACCTAATTTGAAAATGAACTACATGGCAGGTGGGAACTAAGGTAAGATACAGTTAGTAAGTCTTTAAATTCACAAAAGGGGCAGGAAACTCTCCAGTGTTTACAACTGTGAGAATGAGTTCAGCCAAGAGCACAGTTGGAGACCCCGATCAGAATGGGATCCCCCCAAAGAAGGAACTGAAATAGTCATCACTCCCCATCGCTCTGGTATAAACTGTCTACTATTTAATATTGTGATGAGAAACAGTCACATACAACTATAATAAACAGTGGTAGTTAGGAACAAAATAGAAACGTGAGAGGTTTAGTATAGGGGTACAAAGGAAATATTGGGGAATATAAAATATTTGGATTGTAAATTTAAAAAATTATCCTGGACCTCTGATCAGGGAGTTTTATTGGTCTGTGGCAATTTAAGTGCGTGTTATTCCTTCCTGGTTGTAGTCAGTGTAGTCCATGTCAATAGTATACTTCGTTACTTTGCTTTGCCTCACCTGCTCTATCGAATGGGCAGATATAACAATAAGGAAATTTTGTGACTGGGAGTCACATATATGCGTCTTCTTAATGACTTGGGTTAGAGTATTTGGTAGTTGTAACAGCTGCTTTCCTACCTCTTGCTGCCCCCAGAGTTAGGCATCCTCATTCTCCCACCCCACCTACTTCCTCTAAGAGGGCCAGAACAGATAACTCACACCACCTTTAAGTAAGAGGCTCCCCTCAATTTCTGTTTTTGCTGGTGTTCATCTTCCAGCCAGCAGTAGCTGTCTGGTACCCAGCTACTCTTTGTCTTCAAAGTAAAGGCATATGTGGGTGAATATTGATAAATACAACATCAGCTAATTTTCAGACTGTATTGGTTTATCCGCTTTCAACCATCTGGTGCTAATTCCTTTAAAAGTCATGTGTGTATACTTTAATACTCTGGCTAGGTTATGACTATGACTATCATGACTATCATTCTAAAGTAGAAGTCTGTTTCCAAGCCTTGTTCATGTCCAGCCTCTGCACGTAACTGAAATCATGCAATGTTTGTCTCTCTGCACCTCACTCATCTCACTTAGCGTTATATCTTCTAGATTAATCGATCTGGTTACAGATCACGATTTCATTTGCTTTTCAAGTTGTATATTATCCCATTGCATATAAAATTGAATTTATATCCTGTTTTTAAAATGGATTTTATTGATATATTTGGTTTTGGAGATCACAGCAAAAGCATGATAATTGCTACAACGCAGTTCTCATCAGTTGTCACAGTAAAATGTTATTTATATAAACAGGTTCAATATAATTCCTAGATAAAATTCTAATAATATAATACTTCCCTCCCTTTTTCTCCCTTTCTCTTCCTTTTCTTTCCTTTATTTCTTATTTTTGATATAACATATTTATAACCTACATTATTGTCAAAGGCTTAATACTCAACTAAAGAGTTAAAACAGTAAAAAACATCAGTCCCTACACTGCAATGCCAGCATCTTATTTGAACAATGGTTCCAGGGTCAACCACAGCCCGCAATGCCAGCATCTTATTTGAACAATGGTTCCAGGGTCAACTGCTCTATTTCTAGTCCAGCTTCCCGCTGATGTGCCTGGGAAAGCACCTTTGTAACTCTACCTTTCAAATAAATAAATTAATCTTAACCCAAAAAGGGGGGGGGGGAGTGAAAAAATGATAGGTCAGTAAGGATATACACAAGGACTATGAACAATAATCAAGTAAAAAGATGTCCATTTCACTCATGAACAGTAAAATTTAAAATACTCACAGATCAATAAAACTGTAGTAGTTTATCATTCTCACGTTATCATTCCCAGTCATTGAAAAGTCACATTTTTAATCTGTTTATCTGTTCATGAACACTGAAGCTGTTTCTGTTTCTAGCATGTTGTAGATGATGCTATAATAAACAGGAATGCGGATGTATCCTTCTCATACTGATTTTAATGCCTTTGAATATATTACTGGTAATGGGATTGACTCAGTCGGGTGTCTATTTTTAGTTAAAGAACCTCTGTTCTGTATTCCCATATGGCTACTCTGATTTACATTCCCACCAACCATGCACAAGACTTCCCTGTTCCTGTATCCTCAGATTGGCTCTTAATTACATGTTTATATTATTGTTTATATTAAAATCGCATTTCCACAAAGCTGAAAGTCAACATGATCACAACAGTTCAAGAAAATTTTTCCTATTTATATTCAGATTTTGTTAAACTTTTAGGAAAGGTAAAATCCTTAGCTCTAACAGAGGACCTGTTATATTATTATTGTTTTAATTTTTCTTAATACTCCCTATCATTTGATGCAGTCAGTTGGGATTTGATTTTACTTAGGTGATAAGGGTGCATATTCATGCTTCTTTGCCTTTGGGTATGTACAACAAAGAGGCTGGGGTTTATTTAACCATAGAAAAGGAAGACCACTTTCAAGATGCAGTCATAAATAAGCGAGTAAAACTTGAGTAACCCCTTCAGTTAATGATACTAGCGTAAAACCTGCACCATAGAATGGTAAAAGTGAAACCTAAGAAAGGTTTCAACCACTGTCCCTGATTGCTCACTTTATAGCAGTTTATATAATCTTGTGTGTATATATGTTATATATATGATTTTATGCAAATATATATGCATTTAAATGTACAGAGTTATGTACAAACACACATACATTAACTTGTTCAAATGTATATAAACACATGTGCTGGTGCTTTCATAAAATATATTCCAAACTGAGTTCTGGATTCAATTTGTACATACAGTATTACTCATTGTTTTTCCCTTGAGAACCCTTTTAAAAATTTCTGGGGCAAAAATGTTATTGTAGTTTCAGCTGTCCCTGCAGCCACTTTCATTATTTGTGTCATTATTACTACTGCATAATCTGAACATAAAAAAACATGATGCTGTAACAAATGACTTCCTAGTACTGACAGTTATAGCAGCAACATTTCCCAGCATGATATCTAAGCAGGTTTACATAAAACAAACAGGAAATGGCTGCCACTGTTCACATTAAATCCAGACTGTTTGGTGTAACTTTATCTGTGCTGTACATTACTATAAAATCTCTTTCATTCTCAGCTGGTGAAATTTCATCTGGGTTCAGTTTGGAAAAAGGTTAGAATCAGGTCTCATGTATTAATCTTGTTTTTCCTTTGATTATATCTTTTAAAGATAATTTTTGAAAAGTTTTTAGTATATGATTGTCATACTTTATTAACTTTGTAAACCTTTGAGATTGAGAGAGGTTTGTTATGACTTTTTCCCAATGGATTGCAAATAGAAGTTAGCTTTCCTAGCCCATGTGCTAGATGCTGTCAGTATTAAACTGCCTTTGACTTTCACTCCTCTCTGGGGACTAGTAATTGTTGTGTTCAAACAGCCTGTAATTGTAATCCCGCTGGCTTTCT